GAACCCCGGAAAAAGAGTGACAAAGAAAAAAAAAAAAAAAAAAAAAAAAAAAAAGAGAGAGAAGCAGTTATTTTCCATTCTTATTCGAGAACATCCTATTAAAAAAAAAACCCAGCAAATATTAATTTTTGTAATAGCAATAAGCTTAATAGCAGAGAGAAGAATCCCTGGAGTGCTACCAGACCCTTGGTATCAAATTGAACACAATCTTTTCGAAGAATTTTGATTTGCTTCAGGGGATACCATCAAAGCTATTACCCTCCTGACCTTTGCCACTGTATCAATCAGACTTTCATATGCAACAGCATCTCCATGGAAGAGATGTGACAAAAGCTCAAAATGAATAGGCAGACCTTCTGTTGCTAGACAATAAAGTATCTCTCCAGTGTCAGCAACACACCAGAGATGCATCCACTCAAAGGTATCAGGTTTTATCCTCTCACATTCATTCAGCAGCAAAAAAAGGCAAATTAGACTTCCTTGGCCCTCAGTAACATCATGATGAAGAAAGTCATTTGGATTCTACAGTAAAGACAGCAGAAGTGTACTTTTCTTCCCTGTTTTATCCTGAATTACTGTCTTGGTAGGATTCCTTCTTTTTCACCTCCAATGTTGTCTACAGGCAAAATCCTCCTGCCACTGATGTTGATACCAGACTCACTTTTACACTCACACTGCATAAGAACATTGCCAAAGGTCAAACTGTAACGTAAAAAAATCCCATCATACCCCGGTTTGAGGCAATTTAATAAAATTATTGCTTAAGAACACAGGGAACACAGCATTTACTACATCAAGGGTTAAAGCAATAACTTTTCAAATATTCTTAAGACTCCCTATGGGCTGCAGATAAAGGCAACAAAAATCATGTAAGGAAGGAAAATAAAAAACCACCTAGGTGCCTGGTGAGGAAGAGAAGACACAAGAAGTGAAGCTGTCTGCTATCAGGCCAAATCAGCCTCAGCGAGCTCTGAGGACCACTCTCCCAGCATGCAAAGCACTCGCCCCATTCCTTCTCATCACCAAAATCCACCTTTCTGCTGTGCCTGCTTATTGGAAGTCTTCAGGTACAGCCACTGGAGCAAAACCCGAGCCCTACGCCTCGGGGGGGGGGAACGACAACATAACAACAACAAAAAAATACCAAAACCCCCAAACAAACAAACCCCAACAGAATAAAACGAACCAATTTATCTAGTGGATTAAACCATGGTCTGGGAACCAGGAAGCCACACTGCTATCAACAGGCCTCAGCGCTACTCGGTGTTTGCACAGCACTTCACCAACCTTTTACAAGGTTTAGAGAGGTTAAAATGCATGCCCATGCTCACAGAGCAACCAGGGACAAAATCCAGTATTTATAACCCAGGTCTACTGATTTCTAATCTGCGTAGGACTCAAAGGGCACTGCAACATCTCCGTCTCGCATCAGACCTGACCCACTGCTGAATTTATGCAGGGGCACTGCTCACCGCATCCCAGCCGAAGAGTTTGCCCGACCCAGGCACGCAGCCCCCACGCCGCTGTGCCGTTAGCTTGCTTTCGTTTGATTGCCACATTTCTAATTTGGCAGTAAAGCCAATCCATCCCAGACCGAGTCTTCTGGAATAGCTATCTGTCTGGTGCTGCATCATCTAAACAATTTATTTTCAAATTCAATTATCTGTTTCATTTTATTGCTGTCAGAGCGATCTGTGAATCTTTGCCATGGCAAACCCTGTAGAGAATAATTCTGGGAAGCTGAGCTTCCCAACGCTGCCGCGCCTATGCACGGAAGTGTGTGCATCCATGTGCACGTGCAGGATTTCCTCCATCAAACTCATCCTCCAGAACAGGTGGAGATAATCTCATTAGGTGGCTTTTAATTAGCGGCATGGCAAAGAACAACAATAACCACCAGAGGATGGATCTCAAGCACTGGCCCGAGATCTGCATTGGTGCAATGCTAAGATCCCAACTCTTAGAGCCTAAAGGCAGTGGGAGACTCAGCTACATCTCTTGAGCAGTTCGTTATGCTTTAAAGGTCTTTGAAAGTTAGACTTAAAAGCCTCCCCCTGCTTCCCCAAATGCTCTGAAAGCGATTCTGCTCCCACCCTAAGGACATCAGTCACGTCTGCCTTTGCTGCTTGCTAAAAACAGGATATTTCTAT